TCAAATGATTGTATTATCTTCCCTAAATAATAATTATTTTTTTTTAAATTCATCGATTAGTTTCAGCGAAACAAGTGCAGACACTTTTAATCAAAATAAAAAGAAAAAAATATTCGTTTAATTACTTAACTGCGAAATTAACTGTAAAGTTATAAAACGTCTAAAAATAACATTACTGATAATAATTTTTAAATACACTGTCATGGAGATTATTGAATGAGATTGGATAAAGAATAAATTTGAAATCACTTAATCTTAATTTGACTAATTAAAGGATGTAATGGATTCTTAAAAAGAAAACATGATTGTGAAGAAAATGAAAACTTTTCAATTTAGGTAAAGGTAGATAATATCATTTTGTTTCAAGGTACCATTGGTTTACCTGTCTACGACATAAACTCAGTCTAGGACACTTTTTAAAATATAAAATATGATAATCGACATATACAATATGATTAAATACAATTAAAAATCTGATAAATTCACATAAATCAATTTAAATACACTGGAGAAGGTTTTATATTGAGTTTTATGCAATCTTGTAAGACACATTTATAGGAAAATATTAGAAAAATTAGTTTAATGTGATTTATTTATTACTAAGTACCATTTTTTTATACTCGAATGACATTTTTATAAATATTTTTTTTTTTTTAAATTTTGTTGGTTCAAGTGCAATTTCATTTTATTCCTAAGGTGTTGTATTAGATGTTCTGAATTTAATCATTTTTATTTTCTCTCTTAAGTAACTTTTGTTATATTGGATTATCGAATTAAATTCTTTGTGATGTTTTTAATGTAATTAATCTAATCATTTTGAAGTTTCCTCATTTCTAGATAACATACTTTAGTGGACAAAAGAATCAAAATTTTAATCAAACAAAACACACGTTAATAAATCGAACTTATTCCTTTTTCATTTTTCTTTGTGTTTAATTCATTTAATGAAAGAAAATGATTTACATTTATTTTGTAATATTTTAATATCCATATCCAGGGAAAAATATTGATTACCAACAATTTTTGTCAATGGAAATTTTTACAAAGCAGGATTTTTTGTTAAAATATTTACTCAAAATATAATAGAGTACTCTTGTCATATAAAATAAACGTCAATTTTTAAATGTGTACAAAATTTGTTAAGTGTCTAACCCGAGGTCTAACCTGAGGTCTTAAGTCCCCGTAGAAAACTTTATCTACTAACAGATTATTGCGGTCGACTAATTTTGGATAACATTAGCTTTTAGAGATAACTACTACTTCTAGCTAAACTACAAACAATACTGAAATTAGTTGACCAAATTGAAAAAAAAATATTAATGAGTTAGAGGTATGTGGTAATATATATGATATTGTCACTATTTTGATACGAAAAAACATTCACAATTCATTAAAAAATAATACCTACAAAACTATTTATGATAACACAGGATGTCCATCTTCAATTATAGTTCTACCTTCAGTCAGAAAAGTTGTGTTATGGGAATGTGAATGAGACAAAGAAAGACACATTTAAAATTTAGTGACCTGTATACAGGATGTTATAATAAAGTGCCGTGGATAAATGTGTATATATTTAAATGGCACATCATTAATTTTATTATTCAATTGAGGCTTCCTTCAGTCACCTATCCTAAATTTATTTTGGTTTTAAATGCCACTTTGTCAAACTACGATATTTGTTTCAATATTCATTAACATTTTTAATAAAATTTAACATTTAATGTTAAAATACCCGTTATGGTTTATGGAGAACTTAAAGATATTTCAACCGGAACAGGAAAATTCATGGTGTTTCATTAGAAAATATACTTACACATTTATGCGCTGCATTTTTACAACACCCTCTACACATGCCACTAATATTAAAATGTGCATTTTTTTAGTCTCGTCATTTCCACAATAAGATTTTTTTCATATAAGGCTATTGCATATCTTTAATGAGATTTGATTTTAAAATTTAAGCAAGCGCCTTTAAAGTTCTAATAGCAAATTATTACTTAATACCTATTGCGCAACCGACATTCGACAGTAAAACATTGATTAAAACATTCTGTATATTAGCTGCCCAATAACTGTTTTTTGTAAAAAGGGCAATATATGTAGGTAATATTGTATTTAAAGGAAAAAAAACAATTATGGACTGCACATGGACAAAAATTATTTTGAAATAGTAAATTTTGCCTGAGATTTTACCTAATTCTCTACTTTAAAATTCCTTTACGTTATAGATGACATCAGTCTGCAATTACATCTGAAAATACCTAGTGGGTGGTAATTTAATAGGTAATTAATATATCTACCTACCGAAAATGTAGCGAACCTAATCAATCTACAAATCGATTTCCTTTCTTGTTTACGACATAAAAATAGTATTAAAAACAACAGTGCTTACTATCTAAAAGATAACTAAAACGAACGCTTTTAACTTTGAGATAATCTTCATCTGCAATGTAAGTTAAATTCAGGTTTAAAGTAGAACAGTAAGTAAATCTTTTGTAGATACCTACTATGCCATTCTTACTGTTGTAGTATTGAATTAGAAACCGCTTTATTCATTAAAAAGTAACACGTATTATAAACTTACTTAGTTTCAAATTTATTTGACATGTTAAAATTGATATTTTTAATGAAGTGGTATTTGTAAAATTTTAATAACTAATCTGATGTAGGTCGCACATAATTTAAAAAATCACATCATTTATAAAGCTACTAGCTCATAAAGAGAGGACCAAAAAGTAGGACAATGGTATTTGGACACCATACAATGGGAAACAAGGAAGGCTTTGTTAATCATAAAACAATAAAGTAACAAAATAAAAGAAAGCAACGCATTCGGAAAAATCGTGCAATTAGAGCGTTAACTCCAAGTCATATTTCCGTATTTCTGCAATAATTTACTAAATTCGCCGCAGCCAAAGTAGTCAGTGATTTGTTGTATGTAAGTATGTGGGCGGGGATGACTGTTCTGTAGCGCCTGGTGAACACGGGGGACATGCGGACTTTGGGGATCGTCACCTAGGCTGGGGCTGGGACAGGTGCAGCATGCAATGCACCAAGATGACTGACTGCCATTATTATCCCTCAGAACAAGTGCAGTAACCTCATCAGTCACAGGTGCACGTTTTAAAGAAAGCTAGAGTATCGACTACTGAATTTGTTCTGCAAAACGACATCGCGGCGACGATCGATGTCGTATTGGAGCCTGCACCAACTCCTAGTTGGCGTATTTAAAATGACACCAGGGAGGACGTCGGGCTCAGGGCGCAGCCATGTTGAGAACGCGAGTAATCACTAGCGCACTACGAGGTGCGACGTAAGAGGTGCACACTTACTGCTAATTTTCATGCCTCCTAAAGGAGGGTTCAGAGGCTGCTTGTTGCCCTCGGCGAAAGACGTGGTTCTGGGGCGTCCGCTCATGTCTTCTTTCGAAAAGTTTTTCTATATTTCATAGACCTATCACATTTCTTGCTAACACCCTTCTTCCAACCGAGTGATCGCTGTCCTTTTTACACCTCTAAACCGACATTTTAGACGTGCAAACGTCCCGAACGAACACCCACTTCAACACAAAAAAACGACACGAATTTCAACACTTATAAAGGACACGTACACCTCATTTTTGTTAAAAATTATCCCCGTTAAACCATTTTTGACTTGCAACGGGCTTCACCTTACCATTAATTTTCTGATGCTCAGACATTGACCCGATCGGTTTGTCCCGTAACCAATCACGTTGCATTTGGTCTACCCGAATCTAGCCGAACTTGTTCAGCAATTGTACACTCAATAATCTTTTTCTGGTGTGCGCTGCCATCTCCCAGCATTTTGTTCAAGTTGACGGTGCCAGATCACCTGATTGGCAGCCATCTAGCACAAGATTGCCAAAGTACAATAATTGTATTACCAGATTTCTAAAAAATTATATCTAGGTAGGTACCCCTAGGTGAGTAAAATTTGAAATAATTTTTATTTTTATTAAATCCAATACAAAATACAATGGATTTTCTTTTAATTGGAATTGTATTCTGTCCAGTTATAACAAAATATATCTCATAATTCTTATTATCCAAGATTGCCATTTTGGAAAGCTGCATGAGAATTAAAAATTTTTGCAAAATGCAGTCAGAAAAACATTAAAATAAAAACGAATAGATCATTAAGAAAAATCTTAAATTAATTTTGTTGGAAACTGTTCGAATTAGTAATGATTTTCAAACAGACTAATTAAAATACCTATTTAGCAATGTGAAAGACTGAAAGACGATCTTAAACTTTCACTATTTTATCTAGAATGTTTTCTAGACTTGTCTAATCTAAATTTTAAACATTTTCTTCATTTATTTAAAATCAGACAACTTGTTTTTAATGATCTCCTTTTCTACGTTATTTCTTAATTTTGTAGTTCTTATTAACTATTAAATCTGCTTTTATAGTCGTCACTGACCTTAGCCATTATCATTAGCCTACCTATGTATGTACATTATTTGTAGTAATAATTACAAGAAATTGAACATTTAACTATGTATATGGTTAATGTAAAAAAATTATCAATAAAAAAATAATCTGACAACTAAAATCAAATTAAAAGTTGTACACTTCACAAAATTTACTATACCTACATTTTAAACAATATGTAGGTATGTACTTACTTACCTTTTATTTTGTAGTTAAAATCACTTTTAATTTGATTCTAAAGAATAAAAACAATAAAAAAATTGCCTCGATATTTTTATCCTGATAAAATATTTTTCTAGATTACCAATGTTTAAAAAAAATGTTTAAATACATTTTCTAATAACTGTCCTGTTGGTTTCGAGTAGAATAGGTACTTAGGTACCTACAATTCTCTGAATACTTTTTAATATCCGATTTATTAAAAAGAAATGTATACAATTTTTTAATTTTCATTTCATATAGGTAAGTATTTTGTTTCAACACCTACATATTATACCTTGTTTGAAAATATTTGCTTAGCAACTTAAAATTAAAAACGCATATATTTTTAGAATTTTATTATTATAATTCACAAGACATGAATGTTTACTTAACTACAAAATCAGTACAAAACCTAAGAAATTAACAGTCTTATCAACAAAAAAATCTTAAAAATGTGAAGTGAAAAAAGAGGTAGATAATGATAATACAAATAGTTTAACGCTAGTAGAACATCTAGCAATGGAATTTTAATACATCGCAATTTTTTTAATTACTTTTTATCTCCTGCTTTTGGTTGTTCCAAAGCCTTGACTGGCTCTCCAGTATGGGTAATGGGAACTTCTTTATGTTCGATTTCATTGCCTCCAATCTTCGGAGCGGCAATAGTTAAAACTCCATCAGAAGACAACTTGGACTCTACCTTATTGATATCGCAATTCTTGGGCAAAACGTATTTCCTGACAAAATGTCTGTAAATATGGCCGTGCTCATCCTCTTTCTCCTCGTGCTTACCCTCCACTGTAATTGTATTTTCTCCAGTAACTTTTACGGTAATTTCTTCCGGTTTGAACTGCTGTACGTCCAAACTTGCATGGAATTTGTCCTTGTCCAATTTGACAGTGGATCCGGTGTCTTGTTGAGACGCAGAGGACCTCCAATTTCTTAGATATCCTGCCGGACATTTTATTACCATCCTGGGTACAGTTAAGGGTTGAAGAAAATCATTTGGATCCAACGTCAGACCAAAATGTTGATCTATGAGCCGAGATGGTCTTAGAAAGTGCGAGTCGTCTAACAAATACGGCAGAAGAGACATCTTGACTTTTTATTCACTTTTTTCTACAACTTCGATCAAACAAACACTGTGTTCAACGTTCAACGTTCAACTAGTTTGCTCGCGCCACTCGGCAAACGGTTTTATACGTACTCAAAGGACCTCTGGACGGTTCTAGAAGGAAATCGATATTCGAGTATGTTCGGGTGTCAACTGGAACGACGAAGTCGTTTCGTAGAGCAACCGTTCATAGGATATTTGCATATAGTTTTGTTTTTGTTATTGTTTTTGTTACAATTTATCAAGATATCAAGCCAAATAATTCCACTTTTCCGTGGAATTTTATAGATATGTTCACAAAAATATGTGTATATAAAAACCAAGCCTATATATGATTTTAATTTAACATACTTCATTTTGCTATAATTGTATTGTTCCCATAATTTTCATTATTTTAAATTAATTAAAGATATTATACTTGGATTATACATATATAAATGCTTACATAAATAAACTGCTACATTTCAACTAAATCGAAGTTAAAAAATATGCATGCTTTACTAATAGGTATCTTCTAAAGATGCCAGATTGTGTCTAAAACGGAGGCTTATTTTAGAATTTCTTATAATATTAGTTATTAGTTTTACAAATGAAACTGTTTCTTCAATATGTGATATTGCGTCATTTTTAACATATCAATATAAAACATAAAAAAGTACTTTACTAGATTAGGCACATTAAATTATAAATGTACAAAATTTAATGTAAAAATGCCTATAAAAATATTTAGGTATGCATGTAATCGTTTATTCTGGTTTGTTTGAACGGAAATGTTTTAATAATCAGTTTGAAAATAGGTGTAACATAATTATAAATATAATTGAATTATATTCATTTTTGACTTAATTCGATATACATAATATACATAAGAAATTCGGTAAAATTTATGATTATGATTTATTTACGATTATAAAAGAGATAGTGTTCATTACACTGTTACTAAGGATTTTAGAATTTCTATGCTATATTTCGGAGATTGGATAAACACATTTACTTCTTAAATTTCATAAGTTCTAAGAAAAAGGTATTTCATTCACTATATATTTGGATGAGGATTTTGAATAAATAAAAAGTATATAATTCCAAAATTATTAATTTCCAAAAAAAAATTGTAGAAATTTCTCGTTCCCATAAATACAATTTAATACAAATTCAGGACCTTCGAGAGTGACTTCCAATTTCTTTTCCAGTAACTGACAGATTTGTATAACAACTAGTGCATTATTTCCTTTAGTTAAATCATTACTAGGTCAAGTTTCATGAAACTATCATTTTTTTTTAAAAGATTGAAAAAATCTTCGATGATCCAGTTTGGGCCATCATGTATTCTTGTATATACATATTTAATCATTATAAATATCACAGAATTTATATTTTACATGGTGCTTATTTCATTTTTGATTTGGAAATCGATAAATCTCAGACTTCAGGTAAGAAAACGGCTACCTACCTACTACCATAAATAAAATGCATCCAGAAGGAAGGGAACTTTCTAGGTCGAATCTTAGAAGGGTCTGTATTATTCCAAGGAAGTACAATGCAAAGCCCCTATTTCAAACTACCTCTTAGGTAAAACGACCGGTTGCAGGCAAATAACGGACATGATATAGGGACATAAGCTGTACCGTCTGTAAGTTTTGAATGTATTTTCTAGTCCTTACTTTAAACGTGAATTACAAAATAAAATGGTAGGTGGAAAATTATAAACATGTCTTAGTACATATGTATATGCGCCGCAATAATTTGTTCCTTAAATACCTGTTTTAATTTTCCTTAATAAACAAAATTACATAAAAAACTATGTTCAGAGATGTCTTTGGGCATTTCTTTGTAATTTAAAAGTGTACTAAGTAAAATTTTACATATTGAGAGAAATCGTCCATGGACGTGCGTCAGAAACAACTAGGGGAACAGACTAACCACTTCTCCCAGTGTCTACGTTTGTTTTTTAGACGTCGTTGACAACACACTTGAGGCATGCTTAAACTTAAAAGATTTTAAGGAAGGCATATTTGTATATAGGTAAATAGGGATAAATCATCATTTTGTCGCCGAAAATACGGGATGATCTGATCTTTTTTTGTTACATACTGTATGATTTATTTTCCAATTTTTACCTTACCAGTCCGGAAAAAAATACTGCCTCGTTCAAGGCGTTGCATGCATCAGAAAGGTTGGGAAGCACATTTTTAGAAAATTTTCGTTTCGTGTGCATAACATTGCACTGATGCTAAGCATCCAACTAGGTCGAGATGCTTGTGAACATCTTGTGAAGATGTCCATGGTCTGTATACTGTGACAATTTCAACTAGACTAGGAATGAAACAGGTTAACGACATAGTTCTTTTATTTTTATGTAAATATTTACAATTTTTATTAAACTTGTTAATATTTGTTACAAAAAAAATGTAAGAGGAAACGGAGCGTAGATTTAATTCTGCGGATTTACTATGAGTATAACTCTCATGTCATCCGTGTCATAGATGATAAAAATAATAAATAATGACAACACACGATACACACGAAAAAAATTTTACAGTTAAAAATACATCTGCTTTATGTAAAATTTTACTCCGTAAGTAAACATGAAAATATACAAATCTATTTTTAAAACCAAGTCAGGGCCGTCCCTACCCAGTGCGCCTAATTATTTATTTGTCAGTTTTTCATCACAGTACTCTTTCTTGTTCCCCAAAAAGCACAAACTGACATAATTTGGGGAGGAGTTAACTGTATCTAAATACCAAATACTCAAATTCAGGAAGGTAGTTTATTATAGCATCCGTTTATCTCCTAAAAGGAACTCCCCAAAATTCGAACGTGGTTGATAAGCTAACCGCATGCATGCGGATATGGCGTAATGCTTGCTCATTTACATCGTTTCAATTACAAGACCGCATAATCTAAACACTTTTATAGAAAATACCGATACTGACGCACTTCTGAGCTAAATATAAGCCGTTTAATTTATTTAACAAGGCTTTAGAAAAATCGACACTCCAGTTGTTAACACTGTGTTAAAATGAAGCTGCTCCTGTTATTAACCTTGTTCTTTGCCGAAGAAGTATTTTCGTGTCAGTGGGTGTGCATCGACAAGAAGAATAACATAAAGAAACATTATTTTGATAAGAATAAATTGAAACTCGAGTATTCTATGCCGGTTATAGATATTGCTGCGGCTGCTAGAATCGACAAAAAGAGGAATTCCGCACTACCAGGTAAGTTCATTGCTGTTTAGAAAGAACATGCTGCGGTTTTGTTTTCTTTTGGTATTACTTTTAAAAGTGCTTTTTGGTTTGCTGGTTTTAAATGGTCAATTATTTGTTTTGATTTTCTGGAGCTTTTTTAAATTGACCCAAGTTTTAAAAGCTGTCGGGCACAAATTTTAAAATATGTTTATTTTCCAATTTATATAATATTGCATGTAATGTACTGTTGTTATTTTTTTGTTTATAAAAAACTTCATCATTCATTTCATTTTGGAAAACAAAAAATGATTTCCATGTTCACTCAAAGAACTTTTATGACGAAGAAATTTCGAACTGAATTTACGAAATAAAAAATTAAAATAGGGGTTGTTCCTGATGTTTTATTTAACAAAGAATTTGTAATAACATATTTTTCTAATCAACTCTCAATAGGTACCTTTCAAGCAATGAGAACACTTAATATTTTCGTACTTCCGTTTCGTATTAATAGTACCACTTCCTCTTGGAATTTCATAGAATTAAAAAACCCTGATTCTAACTGGAACATTTTCATTTACTCGTCCCATGACAAAAAAAAACTATTAAGTATGGGAATCATAAAACAATCACCTTTCTCGAATTTTTCTTTTACCGATACATATTTTTTTCATTCGCAAATAGGTTTCTAAATGTCCACTGATCTTCTTTTGTGAATTCTCCAGAGATTTTTCATCATTTCCGTTACACCCAATATAAATATTATATCTTAAAAATATTTTGTTTAAAATAGAAAAAGTCAAGGTACACTCCATATTTTTCAATCTTATTTTGTTTTAGAAGTGACTCTACGTATGCCCGCTTTCGATGTGGAGCCGTTAGAAGGTAATATGTGTATGTATTTTTCTAATTTACACGTACATTAATTATGCTTTCACGCTCATTTAAATATTTATATTTTTAGCTAACTGCGATAACAAGGGATTTACTAAGGTGCTGAAAGAAATAAATCGAAAAACGAAATGCTCTCCTCGGGACACAATCGTCGATCTCATTTATGAAGGAGCCAAGGTAATATAAAAAAAAACAATTCAGTTGTACCTGACCATCTTATTTGGCATGATTTAATTCTACAGTGTATAACAGCTATACAGAGTGGTCCGAATTTTATGCAGGAAACTTCGAGAGTAGATAGATCTCTTTAAAATAATATGTGTTTGCCTTATAAACATAAGTCTGGAACGGCCCCGTTTTAGAGATACAGGATGTTGAGGTTTTTAAAAAAAAATGATTTTTTGTTTATATCGCACACTACCTCACAGGTGGTGTAGAAAGGAGTGTAAATAATTTTGTTGATGTGCTTACAAATTGCACTTACTTTTAAACATCAACAACTATTCTTGTAATATTATTATTAGAAGTGTCTGCCACAGGGGGATTGTATTGGTATGAATAACTTGAGAACGGCGAATCTTAGGGAAAAAATTAGTCACCTTTTTTACTATTTTGTGCATTAAAATATAAATCAGTTACAATGACATGTAAAAAATGCAGTGGCGTAGGTTTTTTTGTAAAAAAGGGGGTGACCCCTGTCCAGTTGCACACCACTGGTTGAACCTTTAAAGCTCATATTTTAGGAAATATAAGGCCTACTATCATACATTATCTGTACTAAATTTTATTGAAATCGGTTAATAGATTCTGGATATAAACAAAAAATCATTTTTTTTTAACAACTTCAACACCCTTTATCTCTAAAATGAGGCCCTTCCAGACCTATGTTTATAAGACAAACACATATTATTTTAAAGAGATCTATCTGCCCTCGAAGTTTCCTACATAAAATTCGGACCACCCTGTATACGTTGTGATAAACTATTAGGTTCAAAACATTCCTTTCAAACTAAAAACAAGAATAACATCATCTAACATTTTTTACTTAAATAAGCCCTATGTTTTTGTTCCTAATACATACAGACAACTGTAAGTGGACTGTACTGTTGCAGTTCTTGAATCGTTCCCGAGTAATCGATTAAAAATTGTTTCACTTACAATATTTGACGGAGAAAACTATGTGCTTGTATACCTTAATTTTTTGATTAATTCTAATGAGAAGAATCAGACTTGATGTTTTGTCGCAATGTTGCTTTAATCTCTCTACGTCGCACAGTGGGGCAGAATCGCAAAAAGCTGGTCACAAGTCAAAATCATTAGAAATCGATCTGAAATTTGTTACTCGGGGGTTTTTAGGGTCGCTGTTAACGAATTTGGAGTCAGAATTACAAAATTTAATGTAGATGATTTAATGTAATAGCCATATCAGAAGTAGAAATATTTTGTAAATAGGGATTATCCGAATCGTAGATTAAGAATTAAAAGATTGTGAATTACAAAATGGCTATAATATGGAAACATAAGAAAATAAAGCAAATAAAAAATTGTTAATTAAAAATTGTTTATTTACAATAATTATTTCAAAAGAAATATAATTTCAGTATTCTTTTTAAACAACAATTATTAATTACAATAATGTCACATTTATCAAGCATGAGTAAAATTTACAATTGACATATTAAACTATTCATATATTTCCTTAAATAAGTATAAGAAATAATTTATTTGAATCCCGTGCCATCCCGTGCCAAAGTTATAACGTAAAATTCCAGTTTTTTCATAAATGAAAAGAATCATCATTAGATGAAATATCTTATCTTCATTTGTAGCATCCGTCGAATCTTCTGAAGTTGAAAGAAATTCTTCTTTATCTGCAATCTTCCCATGTCTTACATCGTCCAGAGAAGGCGAAATTCATTTTACTCTACATTTTACAAAAACCTATACAAAAAGTTGTTAGGCACTTATAGGCAGCTGATTTTTTTTAGTTTACAAATAATAGTTTTGTCTTTTTTGTCCAATAAATTAAGTGACAGAATTTTGCAGAATTATTAAACTTTTGTCTTCAAAACTAAATTATTTTTCATTTTATAACGTAAAATCCACGTAAGTTTGGTAGCCAATTACTATTTTTTATAAAAATATTGAATATTTTAACCTACATAATCATAATCTACCTTTATGAGTTGATTCCACTTCTGTTCCTACGCGCGAGCCAGGTGTTGCTCGAGCAGCGGTCGCCTTTGTTATTTAAAAAGCAGGTATAGGGGATCAGACCCTAAAAGTAATGGATTCTGAGACTTGGGATGTTATACTCTAGCCAGCGTACTTTTGTACGCTGCTCTAGCCAACCCAACAGTAAAAATTATCTAACTATAACTCGGCGGTCGAAATTATAAAGAGTGACTAAGACATAATATAAAAACACTATTACTATAATGCGTATAAAATATAAAATGATTTTTATACAGTTCAATATTATTTATCTTTGTGCCGCTCGCTACGCACATCGATAGAATCTATAATCGTCTAGAGACCGAGTTACACTGAACTTCGATTTATATTCTATCTCTGTCTTTTGCACTTGGTAGGGAATAGGGAAATGCTTTTTTAGTATGTGTAAATGGACTTGATTTAACCCGTCCTGAGAAACGTCATAGCATAAGCGTAGACGATTCCATGGCTATAATAAATTTATAAATTAAAAAAACACAATTGGGACGTTTTAAAATGCTGTAATAATTAAATTGGATCAAAGCGCCTGTTATAGCAAACCGTAAAAAACATTAGATGTTATGTTTTATTATCTTTTTTCATTATTTTCTATATCTTGTTGCCTTTTACGCAGACACGCCAATGGATTTTCGTTCCCGGCACGCTTCATCCTCCTTACTAGTCCAAAAGCTAGCGATGAATCACTCTTTATAATATCGACCGTAGAGTTATAGAAACTAAATTTTTTGACTTTTGGCCAGTTTTTTGGGATTCTGCCCCACTGTGCGTCGATCTAATTTTATAAGTAAATATAATTTCTCTACCATTTGTGATTTATTTGACAGGTTGTACCAAATAAGGTAACCACGAAACTGTGCACTGGAGTTTGCAGCGGATCAAAAACATGTCTTTCTGTGGCGCGTCGCAATATATCCATATCCGTTAGGACGATCCTAAATGATGGAAAGGTCCAGTGTTCTACAGTTTTGGTACCGGAAGACACCAAGTGCAGATGCGACTGCGACATGTCCCAATCTCATTGCTTAGAAAGTCAAGCGTTCGATAAGAAGTTCTGCAAATGTAAATGCGTCAATGATGTGAGTATAAAATGAATATCATGTTGATAGACTACGGCAGTTAAGATGTGTCAAAGACTTACTAAACGGATCAAAATTCTTGATTTTCTGTTTATTTTGATAGGAGGAACAAATCCTGAAAATTTGTCGCAATCTCACTGTTATACGAGCATCGTTTGCCCGCCCATTCTTCAACAGGGCGACCAGACCTGTATATGGGTATGGCTAAATAAATATGGGAATAAGTTTTTCAAACTGCCAAACTCTTGGTTCTTCAATTGAGATCGGAAAATACTATACCAAGCACTATAACAGTGCCCTTGGAGACTATTGTTGGTAGCGGTATTTTCAAATATACATATAAAGTAATGTAATATTTCTATTTATACGAGTGTTAAGTATAAAGAAAATGATGTTTTACGTTATGGTTAACTTAACAAGCTGTTCAACTACAAAATAGGGTAGTAATGGATAGGTGCGATAGGTAGGAAACTGACATATTGCTGAGTAGTACATGTCCATCTTTATCTTGTTAAGTCTGTGGTTGTAGCACACCAATACGTTTGATTTGAATTTTGACGTCTTGGCCCCCTCTGCCTATTTATACGCCTTTTATATTATTAAAATTCTATAATTTAATGAAAAATAACTGATTTTTAATTTTTTTTTCAGAGAGAATATTTCAACTGCATGAACAAAATTATAAACCATACGCCTAAAAAACATTGGTGGAATAAGAATACCTGCACCTGTGAATGTCTCAGTGAAAAGGTTTGCACGACGGGTACAATTTGGAATAAAAATGAATGCAAATGTGTTAGAATGATATCTTAAATGTGCAAATGTTTCAATATAGATATAAAACACATTCACCTAGTTGTTGAAAAATATGTCAGAACTTTTGACCATGTCAGTATTTAACAAAATACATGTATAAAAGATAATATTTATTATAGTATTACACAAATTGTGTCAATCAATTGAAATTAGTAAGCAGTACAATTTTTTTATACTTTATGTTCGAGGAACTTATATTGTAGATATAGGAATATCTACATTTATTAACTAATTATTTTAAATCACAATATTTATTTATTATATATAACCTAATTGGATGTTGTTAGATTGTAACAATTAAGAAAAATTATTAATAAATATCAAATTCCATATATAGATAAATTTGTTTGTTCTACATGTAATAACAATTCCGTAATAACTTGTAACATGTATTTTATAAATAGATTTGCAATTTGGATTAATGAAGCACTATTTTCGTTATTAGATTCTATTCACAATTGGGCATAATGCAGATAAACAAATTAATTATATGAATTTTAGAACAAACACATATTTGTTCTGTAGCGGCCTTAGAATGAATAACATTTAGGAGGTAAAGTAACTTAATTTATTATTGAGTAAGTAATTCAGAAGAAATACACGTCAAAAGTCTCCAAAAGCTGTCGGTACCCTAAACGAATTTCACGAGCCACAATATCTCATGAACAGTTTTGCCGAATCCGCTGTTCGTTTCTAGGCGATTCAAGACAGCATACTGTGTTATCGATTTCGCACCCAGATCCATCTAGAGACTACAACCGGCATATAAAAGAGCGCACTAGCGACTAGTTGGCTGGAGTGAAATACGAAGCTTTTGAATTTGTGTACGAGAAAAACGAAGTGAAGTGAAAAATTTGTATAAAATGAGTACGACAAAACAAATTTTTCTTGCCATTTTGTTGTTCCAGTTCCCTTTCTTGAAGAAAGTTGTTGGTGAAAATGAACATTGTGACACCCCTTCGAGAAATCTTTTTCGGCCGTCTAGGCTTTTAGACCAACATTTTGGTCTGGTGTTAGATCCGGATGATTTCTTCGAGCCCTTAATTCTTCCGAGATGGTTGTCTAGAAGCACCACGGGATATTTAAGGCCGTGGAGATCGGAAGCATCGCGAGGAGACTCCGGTTCTACAGTGAGTTTTGATAAAGACAAATTCCAAGCTAATTTGGATGTGCAACAATTTAGACCAGATGAAATTTCTGTAAAACTCGCTGGCGACAACACGATAACAATAGAAGGTAAACACGAAGAAAAACAAGATGAGCATGGATATATCTCCAGGCATTTTATCAGAAAGTATACATTACCCAAGGATGCTGACACCAGTCGAATAGAGTCCAAATTGTCGTCCGATGGTGTATTGACCGTTTCCGCTCCGATTGATGTGAAAGAGATCGATCATAAGGAGATCCCAATACAACAGACAGGAGAACCAGCGAAACGGATTGAAAATAAGGATAGTTCAGAGAATAAAAAACGTGTCGACTTGTAGATAGTTAATTTTTTTTCAAATGCATAAGACTGTTTTAATATGTAAATAAATTGTAAAGAATAAAATTAGTGGTATTATTTTTTATTAAACCCTTAAAACTTAAGCTCATAATAACTGCCAAAGTACTTACATACTCGATTAATAATAATAGATGGAACTGTTTTGAAATTATAACGATTGTCTAGTTGGACAAATTGTTATCTTGACCAAAATATGAAATGATAAAATTATAAACACTACAGATGGTAAACTTATTAAATTGGAATAAAATGTCAAAGTAATAAAGGTCCTGCTGACTGAAAAATAGCATATTTAAATAATTTAAAAACCATGTAATAATAATGTAAGTATACCCCCGCATCACGATTATAACGTTCTTCATTCAATGTTCAATCTTCCGTCTGGCACTCGATTATCGATTCTCAGTACTGGTCGAGAACTAAGTGCTCGTTCTGTCCAATAGTATGCCAAGTAGGGTGGGCAAAATGGTTCAATTACAAAATCCGATTCATTGAATTCGAATTGTCTGAATCGGCTCAATTGAGCTATAATTAAAACTAAATAAGTTGATAACGAATCATGTCACTTGGTTTTTTGGGTCTTTCTCTTTCAGATCTTGATGTTGCCATTTTTGATTCTCGATTTTTGTATTACTGCTTTACAACAATTACAAAATGTTTGGATTTCAGGTTTGTTTTTGAACAATCATTCATGTGAAGTATCTAAAAAATTTGGGAATAGATGCGGCATGAGAAATGGAGTCAAATCTTAAAAAAATGTTTGTAAAATCCTTGTAGTTTCCAAGAAAAAAATTATTGAAGTTATAGTTCATTCAACTATTAGATAGCTGGATACCTGTAGTTTCTAGTGTCATTCGCAACATGCGTGGAGAGCCACATGGTGTCAATGACTCCGAATACTGAAATCCGATTTGACATTCATCGTTGTGATAGTGTTTACAATAGTTTTTTAGTAGTTAGTGTCAAAAATGCCTTGCGCCATTTGTGTTAGTTCGTAGAAACTGAGTAAGACGGACCCAAATATGTTTACACGTCAGTGGATAAAATTTTTAACAGTTGTAACATTTGGTATGTCAAATTATTTTATTATTTAAAACCAGAAATTAAGCAGTTGAATTTGCTGATATAAAATAGGTGCTATAAAATTCTATTTATTTGAAAGTTTTTGTCCGTTTTTATCACACTTTGCCGCCATGCCAGTCGAATTATTCAAGGTCATGTTTTACACTGGACCAGTGCAAAAGTGTATTTTCAAATCATTTTCGAACTGCCCTTTTTGATTTTTCGTTACAAAATTGTATTTGTAAGAGCCCTGTACATCCACAATTTTTTTTTGGATAAGTTCTGAATCACCCTGTATAAATACATGTTATAAGTATTTATTTACTTAAGGCGATCAAAATTTCTAAACCTTTATAAATCTGTAAAGCAATGAAAGTTTACGGCTCCGATTCGGTTAAGAACGATTCGAAGCCAACAGACGAAATATGTAGACGACTGCTGATACTGGTCACAGTTCTCTGCAATTGTTTAAAGGTGAGATCTGGTTCTTTCGAATGGGTCGTTCGTGAACAACACACCTGTAAAGCTGAGTATTAAAACATCGGTTTTGTTTTCACACATTTATTGAGAAATGGGTGATTGAAAATAATAATACAGTTGACAAAAAATAAGCACATTTTTTGAATATCGGTCAAGTATAAAAGGCACCTAAAAGGCATAAATCTTAAACAAAAGTAATACATAATGGTAGTTCGTTACCATGTAGAATGCGATAATTATAAAAATAATCAACTAGGTTGGGTTACAAATACATCAAAATAATATTTTAACATAATAAATAAAGAATAATGTTAACTTTGGCTACAATTTAAAATTAATATTTTAGGGCTCTATGAGCTAGAAGAATATATTACTCATAAATTAAAATAAAATTTATTACCTAAATAATAAAAACATATAACACTAAAAAAAAAAGGATAAAAAACATTAGGTACTAGAGGTTTGTAAAAATAATTTCATTTCGATATCTTCCTACAGAAATGCATTACTCTATGAATTTTTTACATGAGAAAAGCACAAAGGCGTATTAAAGGATGTACCTAAATAAGACTTGAAAAATTAACGTTTTTCATGAAAGTACAGTACTATAAGGTTTCAGATAGATTTCAGAAATATTTCATAAAACAACTCAAATTAAATAAAAATTAACACTTATACTAACATTTTTTAAACAGTTTCTATTAATGTAGCAAAAAAGCGATAATAAATCGTGTACACAAAATATATTGTACTTTTCTCAGTTTTTAAAATAAAAACCTTGCCTTGCAGCCTTTACATTTTAACAAAATTAATTTTCTCTAAAATATGCGGCTTATAATAGAATCACAATATTTTATATTTATTTAAAACATAATAGTTTTGGATTTATTTAAACTTTACTTTTTAATACTAAATCACAAATTTCTTTATTAATTTTATTTGTGAATTCAAAAAAAAAAATACAAGATCTAGCAATATTTTTTATAATAAAAACATCTGCAAAAATGAAAATGTATAAAGAGCTTATTGAAAGATACATACTATAATATAAAAATACTTTGTTGTAAGTAGTTATAAACATTTTCATATTTACGAGTTAATTTGTTTTAAAAAAATATTTCAAAATCCTTGAAATTATTTATTTTCTTTTATGAATTTATATTTTTTAGTAATGAACTGAGCAAGATACAGTGTGGCCCATTAAATACCAGATTAAGCCTCTAAATTCTTTTTAGACGCACAATTACTTTTTTTTATATACAGTAGAAACTCGACCTCAGTAGGACCAAAATGTTTACAGATAATAGAAAAACACAGAATTTACAATTTTTCTTCAGTTGTTAAACGTTTCTTTTACATTTTATACTTTGATTTGTTCCATGCACCAAAAAAAAAAACACGAGACAACGATTAAGAGCAAATAGGCAACCAACAATACATTTTTATAGATTTTATTACACAGTTTGTCTAAATATGAATCAATGCACAAATAACAGACTTTCCTCCATTCTATCACAGATTTTTTATAAAATGGACTTAATTTGAAACTCGAATAACTTTTTGGCATGAAGAAATTTGTAATTTACGACGCCGCTTCAAATTACAAATTTCTTTACAACAAAAAGTAATTCGAGTTTCAAACAAAGTCCATTTTATGGAAAATCTGCGATAGAATGAAGGACAGTCTGTTATTTGTGCACTGATTCATATTTAGACAAATTATGTAATAAAAATCTATAAAAATGTATTACTGGTTGCGTATTTGCTATAAAGCCCTCTTAATATAACAATAGAATACTATCAATGTGATGACTGATAAAACACATCATAATCGGACAAAGAAACATACACTCGTACCAAATAATCCACGTATGGTTAATCGAGGAGGTCCTACTGCAATGTTTTTATAGCTTTCTAGTCGATAAATCATGACCTGCTACGTTATTTGCGGACGCGATTTTTTGGAAAATCATTTTAAGAATTTCTTTATTGAAAATCTGGCTTTCACTTCATATCTTCAATTTTATCAATTTATAAAGCCAAACATTTTTTTCATGCACTTAAAATTTTAGATTTATGTAGATAGAAAGTTTGCTACCTACCGACACTGCTGATTATAATTGGTAGATAATAGTCTGCTTGTGGGTTTTGTCATAACTAAAATTATGAACAAAAATTTTAAGCAGTCTATTAATTACGAATTATAACATTTTCAAAGCCTCCTAGATTTTTAAATTTAAACAAAACTGCAGCAGGCCATGGATTACGAACGTGATCATTGTAATTGTTTCAGCAAATACATTTGGATATATTTAAAAAATGGTGCGCCAAAAAAACGTTACGGTGTTCTGGTTCTTAATGGGCCACCCAGTATGTAACTAATATTTCAACATTTTTGACATTTTTTATAAATTACAGTCAAAAAATTTCACATGATGAATGTTCAGTATTCTAATAAGCATAAATATAATTTTTTTTCAAATTTAATAAATATTTTTAAAAACGTCCTAGTAACCTAAATATCAAAATGTAACGGCTACAAGGCGGCATTTATCGTTTTCTAGAATTATAGATATAAAAGATCTGAAAGAGACGACACTGACGAAACACAACTACGATCTATAAAAGCACACACCATTTACACCAGCGTAGACTATCACTAATTATAAATATTCTTTTTTGTGTTAAATATATATATTTATATATAATCTCTATACTCTATACAACATTATCGATAACTAATTCTTTTATAATACAAATGTTCCCTTTACTTTTTTTTGCAACAATATGTATATGTATCAAATTTAGATGGCTCTGTCTGTGAAAAAACACGGTCTCATCGAAAACATTAACTCTAGCCGTGATATATAAAAAGTTGTTATTTTAGAACTCTAGTCTCATATATTTCTTTTTGATTTTATACAAAAAACATTAACAAAAATTTCGCGCCACACCTTCAAGCAACAACTGAAGTAAACAAATATATATATATTACAGGAAATAATATTTAACAAACAACATAAAAAAAAAACATAATAATACAGAATTAAGTAGGATTCTTCATGATCCTTTTCTGCCTAAAGTCGTATACTCGACGACAGAAGAATACCATTTCCGGTGATATCAGATGTGACGGAGGCTGCCTGTGACATCGTGGATATGGTTCTGGGTTAGGAATGCACGGTAGGGTCTCTTCAATTCCTTCTTCAATTCGCTTACGCATTTTACAGTACCTAAAAATTATATAAAATAATTATTCCATAATGGCATATATTTATATACAGGGTGACCGCAAATCACCGACAACGTTTGATTGTATATTCACGACGATAAATAAATACGATCTACAAAGAAAATGAAATAAAAACTTTTTTTTGGTTTTTGAGTTACAGGTCTTCAAAGTTGTCGGTTGTAGTTTTCTCTCTCTTTTAGCGGTCTATACTTTTACAGTGGCCGTATTTTTTTAAAACAGGCAGAAACATTGAAAGGGTGGATTTATTTAAAAAAAAATGTCTCTTGCGAAACTCGCCTACAAAAAGCCATTCTTGAGAAAAATGGTATTATTTGCAGGACTGTATGTTTCGGTTTGCGTAGCAGCGTCACGGATTTAAAACTTTGAGTTCAGTAGGCGATGAAAACAAGATGTTGATTGCTTTGGCTATCACGTAATGTCATTATTGTCGTGTTTCTTTAGGATTCTCATTACTCCACACATGCAAATTGTGAAATGTCTGCAGTGTATCAAGACATTTAAATGTATGTAAAACACAAAACTTTAAAAAAGCAGCTTTTTCGGACATTTCATATAACTCGTACTCAAGGACTTGAAAATTTAGATCCCAACGCACGTTTACAATTTTGCCGTTGGTTGGTGAATGACTTCGCAGAAGATAATAATCAGCTTCAAAAATTGTTTTCTACCGACGAATCTTGTTCTACAAGGAACGGAATTGTAAATTTTCATAATTTGCATGTGTGGAGTGATGAGAATCCTAAAAAACACAACAAGAATGACATTACCTGATAGCCACAGCAATCAACATCTTGTTTTCATCGTCTACTGAACTCAAAGTTTTAAATCATACAGACCTGCAAATTATGCCATTTTTCTCAAAAATGGCTTTCTGTAAACGACTTTCTCAAAAGACAACTTTTTTTTAAATAAAAGACCTTTTCAATGTTGCTTCTGTTTTAAAAAAATATGACCACTGTAAAAGTTTTGACCACTAAAAGAGAGAGGTAACCGGAGAAAACTATCACCCAGTATATCGATTTAACTAAATAATACGCCATAATAATCCATATAAATGTGACAAATTTAAATTAATTAATTAATTAAATTAGCTTTATTTTTGACAATTTTGAAGATCTGTAACTCAAAAACGAAAAAGTTGTTATTTAACTTTTTTACGGTTTTATTTTATGGTCGCGAATATGTAGTCAAACGTCGGTGAAATTTGCGGACACCCTGTATACTAGGGTCAATTTACGTATTCCAACAAAGTAAATAATTGCACGCAGCCACGTATTTAGGAAAATGCAAATACATATTCCATGGAGTATAAAACTTAAAAAACATCTTTTTAAAGACAGTTTAAATAAAAAATAAATTACAGTCGATATTAACTTATTTAGGGTATTTGCATGGGCCACTTCAGCAGTCGATTCGGTGACATATTAGTTTAATGCAAAATAACACAAAACTGCCACAAAATCAAACCATGAATGACTAATGCAGAAACTGAAAACTATTTTAGGATGGATTTTACATTCAATCCATTTCGACCAATGGATCCAAAGCCATATACTTATCTCACGTGTTTCATAGTTTACCATTGTTTATTTCATTGGAATACGTAAATTGACAGTGTTTAGAACATTTTTCATGAATTTACTTGTGCAGTTGGTCTTAGGCACTTTACAGATAAATGTTGGTTATTTTTTTAAGATTAAATTGAAAACAAATATTTTAATGAGTTCTAAGTTTCTAATATATTAGAAAACATAATCACAATTTAATATGACCAATTTATTTTTTAATGTTTTAAAGAAACTATTATCTGTTTTCTATTTAAGTAACTAAAAAGGTATATATGGGGTATAGCTCTAAATGCAGATCATATTTATATGGAGGTAATTTTTGACCTTTAGAAACATAAATCACAAGTTTGTTTTCTCAAATTCTGTAGTGAAACCCAAATTTAATTGTTTTTATTTTGTAACTTTCATACTTAAAGCACTCGGGCGCACTAGTCACAGGTTCATACCCAATTGGAAACTAGGCCATACATTGTCAGATCTCATTTTCTTGATTCGTATACATGTTTTTTCTTTAAGATTATACAAAAATTTAACAAGAATGACACAAAATACGGTGTACCATCACTAAACACTGAAATAAATGGCTTTATGTTATATACTTCAAGAAATACAGAACATCACATTATAGAAATTCTATTTCAACAGCCACAAAAACTAATACTTCACATAGAATGTTGTGAAATTATTTTACCATTTTGCAAATACCTTCTCGTAAATTAATAAATGGAACAACAAAAATAAAATGAAGTGGTAACACGATTTTGCAAAAGAAACATTAACAAACTAAACACATTGCTTTGAAAAAATAGTAACATATACTTTTTACGAAAAACTTCAATGATTTTAAAAATTATTTCAAATTTTATTTAGGATGGAATTTATCAAATTCCGTCAGAAAACATGTAAAATATAAATGATTCGGAGAAAAAACTAATACAGACGCTTTGCTACGTACCTACAGTATTCATTGAAAGTCAACACGTAACACTTGTCATCGATACAAGCCACACTGTTGGAATCTTTATGCCTGGAAGCAAAAACCTCTTCTTGCTGATCTGTAGGTAACCTTCCCTGTTCGGTATGTTCCGGTCTGTAGTACCACAATAACGACATCATCATCTCGCCTGAAAATAATTAATGTAAGTTTTAGAAAATATCAACTTCTTTATAAATTTAAAATCTTCATTGTACTTAAATTCCTCAGTTTTTCAATCACTACATTTCATAGTCCTAAAAATATAGTATAATCTCACCATCGTCAGGATTTTCCCACAGCGATGCAATTTTAGCAACAAATGGTAGGTCGTTCTTTCTCGGACCAGCCTTCAAAAGAACGCAGTCTCTGGGTATGATCTTGTCACCTTCTTTATGCCTCATTGCAGGGTAGCACTTCCTTAATACTACTGGTTCATCACTCTAGAACAAAAAAGAAAAATTTACTAACTTCTTTAAACATGAATTCACAATCCTAATATATGAGTGAATACAAGGGTTGCGTTTTATATTTTGAGAACAGAGAACAAAAAAAAAAAGAAATTAAACATTGAATACGGTTTATTGTTTTTGAAAATATTCTCATTGAAGATCAATAAACTTTCTGAAGCACTTTTGTGCAGGAAAAAAGTCATTGGGTACCAAATCAGGGGTGTACGGTGAATAACTCATCAATTCGACTTTTTCAGTTCTCAAAAAGTCTTGCTCGAGTCGATGTGCGAGAGCTCACATTGACCTGGTGGACTTTGAATGACCAAGAAATTCATCAGTGAGCAAACCACAGTCACCATTGAATTCTGTATACCACCGCTGTACAATGGTTTTTGATGGTGCTTAATCGCAAAACACTATTGATAAATCCACGTCGAAAGTTGTAAAAAATAATTGCACGGAAATGTTCACAACTTAATTCTATTTTTGCTCCAAGATGAATTGAACAGTTTCTAGCAAAAACAATAGTTGGAGTGCTCGTCGGCAAAACTTTTATTGATACATACTCTCTCCAAACTTCTTATATAGCTTCATTAGGCCTAGTTTGACACCTTTTTCCTCTATGACTTTTTTCAATTTTGGGGCGTTTTACCTAAAATTTTTCCGAAACACATCGTTTTGACGACATATGAAAAATTTATAGATACTGTTTTACTTTTAAATTGAATAGCTTTAAAACTTCAAATAAACTTAAGAATCTTAACAATTAGAACTATGCTTTTTCTTCCTTGTTCTAAAGAAAACATAAAAACATAAAACACACCACAGAAATGAGACAACCCCCAAATCCAAAGCCGAAGGGCTGTGCAGAAGGGGGTTACACTTGAAGAACATGGACAAACACTCATTATCCATCGACATTGACAGTGCCAACGCCAGGGATCGAACCCGGACCAGAATAGGAAGCCTGGCCGAGAAATGCTTGCTATTGCCCTCTCGACCGACTACGCTACCGTAGCGATCAACCTATGTTTCCTTTCTTTGTTCTAAATGAGTTTTTTTAGTAATAATTTCGTTTTGTGTTCTTAAAAAAATAATAAAGTAGTTTTTGGTCAAAAGTGTCTTAATTTTCCTGCAAAAACCTCATGTCAAACTAAAATATATTTTTTTCTCAAAATGTATGGTTTTTTGATACAATTAAGTCAGAAGGTTTCATTACACCCTTTTGATTATAAATTATTGGACAAACTTTTTTTTAAATATTTAACCTGTTTCAAGAAAATAAGTTTTAAGGCTCTCCTCTAAATTTGTTTTTTTTGACATATGTCCTTTTTGCTAGAAACCCTTCAATTTTTCAAGTCATTGTATACAATATGCCTGTACGTCAAAATGTTCTGAGTAAGTACCTATACCGACAAAAAGTTGAACTTTACAATAGGGACATTGGTTGTTAGATGGCAGCACCAGGATCGTTCATTCCCGAAATATAAAAAGCAACTCTCATACTTTGAAAGTTTTTAAAGTAGTATAAAATAAAAATTTAAAACATATAAATTAAATCAGTTTTGTAGAAAATTTTAAAACATTCAAGCACAAACTTAGTGAAGCTAAAACAATAAATATTTAATTCATTATCACCATCAATTATTAATGTTTGTTACATAAACTTGTACATTTCTGAAACATGATAAAAATTACTCACATTTAAAAATACTTTCGCTTCGTAGGGTTCGCCATCCCACGTCCACCCGTTGGACCACCTGGGCTGGTGCAGAGATCTCCTCGGCACCTTTGTGATAGCCTGGGGAACCACCACCTCTTTACACTTAGACTTGCGCCTGTTTGCTCCCGTTTTCTTACACTCCACCTTCACTTTAATTTGTCCGTTTTTGTTTGAACTCTTTTTTATGGCGACCTGTGGCTCCTTGGCCTTCCCGCACTTTTCCACTGCCTTCGGTGCACCTGCGTCCTTTGATATCCTGGGACATGCTTCACTGATAACACTTTCTATTACTCGGTCGACATTGTTCTTTGCAAAGAGACTGTCTAAAACCGCTGGCGCTGACTTAGAACTAGGTTTCAAATTGACTGCTGGTGCTTTTTTGGTAATCTTCTTGACTGGTTCTTTCAACTCTGGGATTACCTCGGTTGACATTTTGTTTTTTGTTTTGGTACTGTCAAGGGAAACCTTCTCTTTTCCCTTAGAACTTAACTTGAGGTTATGATTGTTAACGGTGAGTGGTTTGGAGAGTTTCAGCCTTTTGTTGGTATCCTCTTTAGCTAGACTTAATTTCCTTTTGCTGGTTGGTTTTTTCATGTTTATTCTCGTTCTGCCAATATGATTGTTCTTGTGACGGGGTGAGGATTCGGTTATGAGTTTTCTTTTGCCATTATGTATTTTAATGGTATTAGTATCTTTTTTTATTAAACACTTATAAGAGCCTAGTTTAAGTTTCTTTTTAGGCGATGGAGAGAGTTCTGGTTCAGGTACTTTTTCCTTGGACAAGGAGAGCTTTCTCTTCATATTTTTCACTTTTACATTTTCTGCGACTGTGTTTATGATTGGCTGCAGTACTTCATCTGCAAGAGGTTCTATTGTTTTCTGAACAGAGTTTTCCACCTTTTCCTCTACACATTTTTCTTCTTTGGGCTCTATATGTTGTTCAAGTTGATCATCAAATTCTTCACCTTTTGTACAAACGTCTGTCAAATCTGTTACTTGCACAGGACCTTTTATTTCTTCTACTAAACATACTTCTTTCTTCTGTTCTATATCCTTTTCTTTTGGACTTTCAATTTCTCTTTTCACTGCACTAACATAATTGGTGGGGTTGCACATGAGTAGCATGGTGTTCTGCTGAATGTGGTTCCTTACCATGGCTTTACCTATCCTTGCTTTTCTCTTCTTCTCCAATTTGCAGTCGTCTTGGGCTTCCGGGGATTGAGATTCCTGTTTGGTGGGTGGAGGAGGAGGTTGGTAAGTGGCTCCTGCTGGAGAAGGGGGTGGTGGCATGCCAGCCGAACCCCTGGCAGGACTCGGAGGACCCGTGGCGCTCGCCGGTTCCAATGGAAGGGCTAGGGCTACGGGTGGTAGAGGCATGGAGTCTTTAGAGATGGAGGAAATGTTAGACCTCTTACTATCACCAGTAAGAGGCCCAGTAAGGACGTTTTTTGGACACGACTGCATTGGGCAGGGACATGTCTGATATGATGGATCTGCAAAAAAAAAAGAAAATTTGAGTAAGAGTAATTACCTCTAAAACTACATATTCTAAATGAATAAATGAATAAATGTGTTTGTAATCTGTACACTGTGTCATATTCACCATTTTGAGGATACATATTGCAATTTGAAAACTATAAAATAAAAAAGAAAATAGAAAAAAAAGTTGAAGAATTTTATGGTAAATTACTTATATTTTATAAACAGCAACAATGAAACTATTTCTTCTATTAAAATTTTTTAAATTTGTAGTAACATCTACCTATTTTTCTATATGATAAGGAAAAGATATGAAAACATTATTACATATTTAATTTCTCTTCATGTGTTCTTATAATATTCACCTAGTTTTTTTATTGAACAAATAATTTTCTGCTATTCCTTCTCATTTCTATTTCGCACCTCGTCGACCCTATATTTTGAATACTCACTTATGTAGGGAATGGTCCTGGAGGGTGAATGTGTGTAACACGGTGGTGCAGGCCCGTAGGCGGGCGAGTAGTAGTGCGGGGGCGGCTGATATGTCTCCACCAGCGCTGGCTGCGGCGTTTGGTACGTCTCCAGAAGCGTCGGGGGCGGCGGGGGCCCGTTTGCCGCCGCTGGGAAAGCTGCGCCGCTCGCCGTCACGGGGGTGGCGGTAACCACCTGTGTACCAGAAATCATAGTGTTCATTGATACGGATCATTCGTAGGGAAGACAGTTGTAAAGAAAATACTTCTTCCCCATGTGGCCGATTAATTTTATAAAATTTAAAATCTGTTTGCCATTATGTACAATATACAGGGTGTTAATAATATATTCTGCCAAATTCCAGTGGTAAATTTACGTCAGAAACTAATAAACAGCATATCTTTTAAGGAAGACAATTGACAGGTTAATGAAACTTCAAAAAAGACCAATTCCTCATTATTTTATACAGGGTGTCTCACATTTAAATAGCAGGACTTCAGGAATCAGGAATCAGTAGAAGACCTCATTTTGAGTCTAAAAGTTCCTATATATATGGGTCCTAAAACGCTTTGTTTCTGAGATACAGGGCGTTCAATTTTATTTTTGTTTTATTTATTTATTTTTTAACTAAATAACCGCTGACAAAAAAAATCATCATGTTGCGGCGAAAGACTTAGTATTTGAGGGCAAATAATTTGACACAGAAAATCATCGCATATTAGTTCCAGTGGTGGAGATAGAGGGGTCTCTATGCATATTTTTATAAAAAAAAGTATAGCCGATTTGATATTTTGCAAATGTTTTCGAAAAATATGAAAGAGCATTCAATTTTACCCAGAAAAGGCCCTCTTGTCCAAAGTCGATAGGAGGTGGCGTTTTCAAGAAAAACCGAAAATACTGTTTAGAAGTCAAATAATAATTTTTAAACATTGTGTTACAACTAAATTAAATATGTAGTTCAAAAATTCGGTTAAAATTGTTTTTAATTAATTAAATGAAAATAAATACAAAAATAAATAACGAAAACCATATTACATCAAAGCAAATGTTCGAAATGTAAACCATTTTCTTCGATACATAACTGACACCGACGCTGAATAGAACGTCTCATTTGAATTAAGTTATTGTCTCTGATTTCACTGCATGCGTTCCGAATCCGACGAATAAGTTCATCCCTTGTGTCCACAGTAGTGGTATAAACTCTCTCTTTAATAAAACCCCAGAGGAAAAAATCTAGGGGTGTCAGATCAGGGGATCGGGGAGGCCATGCAACGATACCCCCGCGGCCAATCCATTTTTCGGGAAAGTGGGTGTTCAACCAGTTCCTGACATTTCGGCCAAAATGAGCTGGACAGCCATCAAGTTGAAACCATGCTCGCATTCTTAAATTCAGAGGAATTTCCTCCCACATGTTGGCACTCTCGGTCTCTAAGAACTCTAAGAAATTCGCAGAATTCAGTCGTTGAGGTAAGATGTAAGGGCCGAAAAGACAATTGTTATAAACGCCGAGCCAAATATTAACACTAAATTCGTGCTGAAAATTTCGTGGTCTGATTGCATGCGGGTTTTCATGTGCCCACTCATGCTGATTGTGTAAATTTGTCACACCTCGACGAGTAAAACATGACTCGTCGGTCCATAATATGTGTGATAAAAAATTTCCGTCGTTTTCAATTGAGTTAAGAATCCACCGAGAAAAAGCTATTCTATGTTCCTCGTCACCCGGACGTAAACCCTGAACAGGTTGTAAGTGGTAGGGATGTCTATGATCTCGTCTTAATGTTCTAGAAATAGTGCACCTGGAAACACCAATAATCCTGGAAATTTTTCTGGTACTCGTCGTGGGATCTCTGTCAAATTCGTGCAAGATTCGCTGATTCCTCCTATTTCTGCCAATATTAACGTTAATTATGTTGCGATCCCTATGGACCAGATTCAATCCGTCATTAGCGAAACGTTGATGAACATTAATAAAAACGTGTGGATGCGGCTGTCTTCTATTAGGAAATCGTCTCCGATATTCCCTAGCAGCTTCTGCCGAGTTCCCATTGGCAAACCCGTATATGAAGTGAATATCTGCGTATTCTTGGTTCGTAAACTTAAACGGCATTTTGAATTTGTTGCAATTTTTTTTAATACTCTACACACAATTAGAAACTATAATAAAATAAGCGCAAATGTCAATATTAGAATGACATTTCAAGTCTGATTTGATTTCTAAACAGTATTTTCGGTTTTTCTTAATTTGACTTCTAAACAGTATTTTCGGTTTTTCTTGAAAACGCCACCTCCTATCGACTTTGGACAAGAGGGCCTTTTCTGGGTAAAATTGAATGCTCTTTCATATTTTTCGAAAACATTTGCAAAATATCAAATCGGCTATACTTTTTTTTATAAAAATATGCATAGAGACCCCTCTATCTCCACCACTGGAACTAATATGCGATGATTTTCTGTGTCAAATTATTTGCCCTCAAATACTAAGTCTTTCGCCGCAACATGATGATTTTTTTTGTCAGCGGTTATTTAGTTAAAAAATAAATAAATAAAACAAAAATAAAATTGAACGCCCTGTATCTCAGAAACTAAGCGTTTTAGGACCCATATATATAGGAACTTTTAGACTCAAAATGAGGTCTTCTACTGATTTCTGAAGTCCTGCTATTTAAATGTGAGACACCCTGTATTTAAAATAAATTATATGAATTTTTTTATGGAATTAAACCAGTGGTGTGCGAATTTTTAATTTTCTGAAGGATGGAAGTAATATAAAATTTCCATAACAACGATTTTGGCTTCTGATAGTTACAGTATGTTTCAAAATAATATTTCAAACACAAAAATACCCAAGATTTTTTTTGTTGGACGAATAGTTTTAGTGTTATTTTCGAACTATTCAACCAAATAACGCCATCGGTAATATCAAACCGTATTCGTTTTGCACTAGGTGTTGCAAGTATAATTCAATGCCGGTAGGGGCATATAGCCCTCGGAATAGTTGTTTCTCGCAACACCGGCAATTTAAAACATTGTCTTCGCCCTCTGTGGGTGGCAGTCGTGCAACAAGTACCTGCAATATAGCAGGTCGCTTCCTACTGTAGCCAACTGAATGGTACAGTTGGGAGTCAGCACGACAGATGGAGCCATTTGCGCTCCCGCGTACACACCCTGTATATTATAAGATTATAATTTAGATTATAAGACATGCTCGAATTCGCTCACCTGCTGACTCTGCTGGGACGGTCCTGTTGGCGGTACGGGATAGATCTCCTGCGGGTTGGCCTGGTAGTACGGCGCGCTGGACAGATACCTCCTGTACGAGGGGTACTTGTGTACATAGGGGCTGGGTGGGTAGCACAGCTCGTGGTGTGCGTACGAAGGATTAGGAGGCGGCGGAGGGGTGGGGTAATGGTAGGGCGGAGGGTAGTTGTAGGAGAATCCAGGGTGTACCCCCGGATACTGCGAGTACCGGTAGGCGGCCGGGGGGTGAGACGGAGGCGGTACCGCGTCCTTGGCGGTGGTTACGGAGGTTATGATCACCTAGAAAAGAGTTTATGATCGGTATGTTTTTTTGTTGTAATTGTTATGTACACGATAAATATTAGAAGTGTATAAAGTCATTATTACATAGCAAAAATTATAGGGCATACAGCTGTGGACAATAAATTATAAAAATAGGAGAAAAAAAATCGGTCGCATGTAGTTATGGATAAAAAAAAAACAAATGAAATCCATTTTTTATAGATGTTTGACATTGGGAGGCGGAGCCATATCTAAGAAACCTTTTAGAGAAAATATTACTCAATATCCCTTAAAAAATCACTTTACATTAAAATATGCATTGATTAAATAAAAAATTGACTTGTCCGTGCGTTTTTCTCTTTTGTTTGCATTAAAAAAGTAAGATGCTGGATACAACGATATTCGAACGTATCAATTGTTAGTTTCTTAAAATCCTCTAGTCTAAGCAATATTCACTAAAACTTTTGTTATGTACTGCTGTATAACGATATCAGAAATGCAATATTAAAACTTCGTAAATCTTTTAAGTCTATCTTAAGTATTTATAAACGGAGTTCGGAAAGTTGAAAATGAATTATATGCATTTTAAATATGCAAAATAATAGAAGATGAAGTTTAAATTATCTCTCTTCGAACTTAGTTCTCAATCCGAGTACTTTACAATACGAAAATGAATATGTATTTTGATTGATATAACTCGTGACAAATGTGATCATTTTTCATTTAAAACCGGGACATATTTCTATTAAAAATACTTAATTTGCATTATTTGGTAAACTGACAGCCAAAAAAAACCATTATTTAGTATTAATTTTCTTTCAACCATATTGTCTCGAGTTTTTCTCTATCGAAAACAGACCATCTGCTCACTTTATTCATAGCTGATATATGATTTAGTTATGGAGATAGATCTATCTACAGGTTCGGAAAGTCCCATGGTACATCGGCCGTTCCGTGAGAGCGATAAAGTAAATCATAGAAATTCGTGCGATAGACAAGGATGGTTACATTGAAGACGTTTCATATTCTGAATAGTCACTCCCACTTCTAACGCGAAACGGGCGGTGACTATTCAGATTATGAAACGTCTTCACTATAGCCATCCTTGTCTATCGCACGGATTTCTTTACTTTACTTTGTTGCTCTCATGCAGATGGACCATGTGGATTTTCCAGCCCTGTATATTCAATGTATGATATAAACTGGTTTATCAAGCTTGTGATGTCCACTGTTTTAATTTTCAAAGATCGAAAAATATTCAATGTGCATAAGTAGATATCATATTAAACTAAAATGATTGTATGAATTAAAGATTAAACTAAATCACATTCAGTTAATTGATGCACCTGAAAATTTACGTATGCGCTTAAACATATGTAGAGGGCGTTGCTTTTAAAAATATCACATTTATTTAAATATTTTATGCATTCTTAACAAAATGTAAATTAAAATTAAAATTAAAGCTACTCGTGCTACCAAAAAAGGAATTTAATGGAATTTTATAAAAATGTAACTTTAAAAACCACGTTATAATTAAAAGCTAAAAAAAACATCCTAGAATTCTCCATATTACAATTTTTCATGTCGTTTCATCCTGAAAGTAGTAAAATATTTTGAAATGATGAATAATATAAATTTAACTTATCTGTGTTAACAATCATAAATATTTCTTGCTACATAAATAAAATGACTACTGATAAATCAGTAAACACTTATAGCCACCAAAACTGTTCATATCAGTTAGCAATCCGTAAGTGATGCCATGCTTAAATCTATCTTTGTTTCCTTAGAAATCCTAGAAATTTTAAGTCAATGTATTTTTCTTTAAAATCTTTTAGATTATATTTTGTGAAACGAATTTTTGCGTTAAGTATAGCTTCGATACATTATCTTAAACTTACGGCAATTTAAAGAAACCGTTTCCGAAACAAACGAAATCAAATTATTTTGTGCAAAATATAATTAGATTTTTAACAGTGCATATTCGACAGTAGTCGACATAATTGTTTTAGTTTAGTTTTATTAGTTTATGTCAAACATCATCGCAGATATTTGTCTAAATATGATGTCGAAAACCAACGATTTGGTTCATTAAAATTTTTAGGCCTAATAATTATAAAGAAATATCATCTTGAAAATATGATCTTAACTTTCAGTAAATATTTTGTAGGCACAAAAGGCACATTTTAAAATTAGTACAGTGTATTGCTAAAAGTGTGGCGTATAGAATTGTATATTTTTATGGTACACCAATTTTGTAGACCCTGGTGCAAGAAATGGATAAAAGTCAATGTGTCAATTGTTATTGTTCAGAAGTCTTTTTTAATCTAGTATTTTCAGTTGTTGTTAGGTTAAATAAGTAAGAATAAAATTTACATCGAAATTAGAGTGAAATATTCGTATGAGTAATGGTAATATGTCCAAAAAAATCATTTATGGTATCAAAATGGCATATGTGAATACGTTACTTATTTAGTTTTAAAACGCCATGTAGAAAAACTATATAACATACGAACAAGTTGCATTTTTTGGTTATTAACGTCCGTTCAAATTTCAATATTTCTCACGATAGTTTTTCATTAAATTATAAGAGGACACTTTTTCATCCAAAAATAGTCTTTGAACAAAAATATTTTAAACATAGTGCCCCGAATTCTTTTCTGACTATCGATATATTCAAACTAAATTTTTCATTTTTTTTTTAAATGAATCTTCAATAAAACCTTAGATTTTCTTCATTTTAATACCAAGCAGTCTAATTTTTTCTTCGCTGTTCTCGAGATATAATTAAAATTTAGTTCATTAAAAATAAATAAAATTATTTTGTTGCATTAAATAAATTAATATTTTTTAATTCTTGAATTGTTATATTATTGTAACATCAACAGCAATTTAACTTTAAAATACAAATACATCTATAACGAAATAGAATAAAATAGGTTTATTGTCACTTGATACAACGTATCAAAATAAATTAGGTACAACACAAACATCAATAATAATTATTAGTTTCCCTCACTTTCATGTTTTCATCTTCCGCTGCCGCTTTCTCAAAACTGACTACCCGGAATCGAAGCCGCGTGTCTATATACCTACCCTTTTGCTTCCTAGAAATTTCCCGGTCTTCGAAATGCATCTCGAACCAAAATCAAATATAATCTGGAATATTCCAGAGAGCTGATAGATAATAAATAAACGAAAACTATGCTACAAATAAATACCTTCGAACAATGCCATCTGATAGGATTTTTAGATATAATTTTTTTTAATTATGGTGTTCGATTTAAAGGAACACATCACAATTTTTTGCAATGCTCTGAGTATACGTCAATAATTTTAGAACGTACCTACTTTTTCCAACCCACTGACATTCCAATAACGAGATTCTTTGTCAAATGTATACAGGGTGGCCAAATGAAAACGAAACAGAGCCATTTTCAGGAACTGCGTCAAGATTGTAGAAAAACGCTGCTCAGACCCGTCGATTTTAGATTAAAGGGGGACATTCTTTGCTGGTATTTTTGACTCCGTCACTTTCACCCCCAAGCAAGGGTAAGCATCACCCCAAAATATTTAAATGGCATTGGGGATTGAGTAATATTTCTTTTGAAAGCTCTTACAATTCTCTTTAAAACAGACTTTAAATTTTATAGTTCCGCCCAATACTTATTTAGAATTTTGATTTTAAAGTTGACTGTACAAACAATTAGTAACGGTAAAAATGTCATTCGAGTTAAGTACGCCAATGGCATAAATTTAGTATTTCTTGCGTTACATTGGTTTCTGGCGATTTGTTATCACTTTCGTAAAAAAAAAACACAATTGTAAAAAACAGAAATTAATGCTATACACACACACAATGAACATAAAATTAGTAGATTCCAAATTATTTTCTAGTATTATTTGGAAGCGCTGGTTGATAGTTTATTTAATTGTTTTTTTGAAAATTAAACACTATAGTTTATTCCATTGCGGAAAGGGTAGATATCATTTCGCTTTAATTTATGAACAATAAATCTGCGAATAGAACAGCTCAGCTATTTAATGAATAACATCAAGATCGGCATGTCAGGAGGAAGTAAGTATGTTCTAGAGTTAGTAAAAAAAATTCAGGAAACAGGGAATATAGCCAATAAAAATCGAAAAACTGAAAAACCTCTCGCTGGAAGATTTGCGTCAAAGAATCGTCGACGAATCCCGTCGAATCACTCGGAATGTGCGCGAACGTTTCGAACAAAATTTTTATTGTTGTATAGAAGCGGGCGGTCATCATTTTGAACATTTAACTAAGTAGTAAGTAAGCAACTAAACATAATTTAAATTTTAAAATGTAAATTATTTTCAAAGTATTGGGCAGAATAAAATTTAAAGTCTGTTGTAAAGAGAATTGTAAGAGCTTTCAAAAGAAATATTACTCAACCCTCCAATGCCCAAATATTTTGGGGTGATGCTTACCCTTGCTTGGGGGTGAAAGTGGCGAAGTCAAAAATACCAGCAAAGAATGTCCCCCTTTAATATATAACCGACGGGTCTGAGCGTTTTTCCACAATCCTGACGCAGTTCCTGAAAATGGCTCTGTTTCGTTTTCATTTGGCCACCCTGTAAAGTAATAAGTTAAGGCTATGACAGAAATAAACACACTGTAGAATTTAAATAACGTGAATTCTGGAAAAACGGTACATAATTTGAAAACAATTCTTACATCTGTTAACGCCATCTGCAATTTTATATACCTTTTACTCGGAACTGATAACTACTTATTTACGAAAATAAAAACACGTTTCCTGATTTTATGAGAGATGTGTGTCGCGCTCAATTCTGCACGTGACACGTTGGCGGCGTGTGGAATGAATATTTCCATCGCGAAATTTCATTCAGCACAATTTACTTCGCTACGTGAAAATAAATTCCCCAAACGCCCTTACTAAAACCGCATTTTCCTCAGAGCGGGAACCCTTCTGCGTTTCAACGTCAGTGCTCACCTCACTATCCGACGAATCCCCATTGGAACTAGGCGGGGGCGGCGGATCATGCGACGCCGACGGCGTCGTCGACGTGGGCGACGCTTCGGAGAGGGGGGCGCTCTTGGTCAGCGGGGGCGGCGGAGGCGGTTGCCCGTGCCCGTGGGGCACGGTAATGAGAGGGCCAGCCGGTTGGTAGTAGCCTGCAATAGAGGAAAAACCTATTAATAATTATGTTCTTAGTTAGAACCGATTCAATTCATTCAAAAGAAAATTTTCTGCAATGTGATATAATAAATATTGTCAATGGATATACATTTTTGTTTCTCTTTTATTCGTCTTTTTTATGTTGTTTCTGCTGTTGTTTATATCATATTTTATTTTTGTATTCATGTTTTTTAATGTTTTTTTTTGCCTGTATTTATTTTAAATATTTTTATCCACGACTATTGTATAATGTACCCATTATACGCTGTTTGCTCGACCTTAATAATACCCATTAATCACGGCAGTGATTAATGAGTCATTAATCACTACTGTCAGATGCTTCCTTAATTTAGCTATAATATTATATTGTTCTGCTACAAACAATCCGTTTTTAAAATTTTATCGTGTAAACCACTAAATATTTTCAATTCAGTGCTGTACATATAAAAAAAAAAATAAAACAGTGAATTTTCCTAGACCGGATTCGAACCCGGGACCCACGGTTGGAAGGGAAAGAGCATCTACACTGAGCCATCAGCGACTTCATTTCTGCGAGTCGTATATCTGTTTCTTAACATACCATGTTTTTCGAAACATTTCAAAAAAAACTTCAACAAAAATATTTAGTAGTCGTGGATAAAGTATAGTATTCTACTCCCGTATAATGGGTATTATTCACTCGGTGATTTAGGCCACTCGCCTGCGGCTCGTGGCCGTAAACTTCACCTCGTGAATAATACCCATCATTATACGCTCGTTGAATAATATACTATTATATTGTACTTTGTAGCACTTTTAAACATGCTTAGAATCATATTTTGTATATTGCTACTTATCCTTTGACTGGGCTTTATGTCCGTTGGATATTTTAACAGCAAATACAAAATAAGTAAAATAAATAAATAATTGGTAAACTTGTCCTGATTTATTACAACTACTGTTCAATATGTAATAATACAGGGTGATAGAAGTTTGACTTTCTTAATTTGAATAGACGATATACCTAATATATTAAAATAAACAAAAAAACCTTATATGACATGGGTCCTAAACTCAACCATTTCCGAGGAAAAAATTGTCGTGCGCGCTTCGAAAATGGTGGTGGACATTTTGAGCATATGTTGAAGTTTGTTTTGTACTTGTGCGTTTAAAAATTACTAAATTTTGCTTTTTGGTAAGTATCTAAATTACTTTTAATACGTATGATTATTTGGAGGACGTGATTCTTTGGGTACTTTCTTTCCAAAACTTTAACACTGACTTCGTGATATACAGCGTGGTAAAAAAGTTCTGCATAAAATTCATATTTTCGTTAAACAATTTTTTTTTCGAAAAACGGTGAGACCCGTCGATTTTTATTTGATCCAGGGCACCTTGTTATATGGAATTTTTTTTTCGATAATCCACTTACGGCAGCGATGACATAATTTTTTTTTAAACGACAACGCATATTTTCTTCGTTCGAAATTGATGACAGTGATAATTATCTAAACAACGGTGTGAAAATTTCGATATCTTACATATCAATTTTTTTTAGAAAAATGCACCTTAAGTTCTTATAAGTGATAATTGTCTACTTACACTATTAATGGCTTCGAACAGGACAAAGTTGACAAAATTACATTTCAAACGAGTAAAATTACACTAATGTTTGTGTAAGTCTAGCGAAATTGTTCGAATTGCCCACCCTGTACCATTTGGCATTGTCCTAAGCGTGTGTAAACGCCGTCTACACTTCGTTCAAGCATTCCCGGGTCGATTTGATTTACGTTTACTGGCCGGTGGATCGGGCGACGCGGAACAATCGAGTGGCCTCCGCGTTCGCCTGATTTAACACCTCTAGACTTTTTTTTTGTGGGGCTATTTGAAATCGCGTGTGTACACAAACAGACCAGGTGATTTGGAAGAACTTAAAAACCGTATTCGTTTTGAAATAAATCAAATCGACTCAGGAATGCTTGAACGAAGTGTAGACGGCGTTTACACACGCTTAGGACAATGCCAAATGGTACAGGGTGGGCAATTCGAACAATTTCGCTAGACTTACACAAACATTAGTGTAATATTACTCGTTTGAAATGTAATTTTGTCAACTTTGTCCTTTTCGGAGCCATTAATAGTGTAAGTAGACAATTATCACTTATTAGAACTTAAGGTGCATTTTTCTAAAAAAAATTGTTATGTAAGACATCGAAATTTTCACACCGTTGTTTAGATAATTATCATCGTCATCAATTTCGATCGAAAAAAATATGCGTCGTCATTTAAAAAAAAATTATGTCATCGCTGCCGTAAGTGGATTATCGAAAAAAAAATTTTTCCACATAACAAGGTACCCTGGATCAAATAAAAATCGACGGGTCTCACCGTTTTTCGAAAAAAAATTGTTTAACGAAAATATGAATTTTATGCAGAACTTTTTTATCACGTTTTATATAGTATTTTCTGTGGCACTATTAGAACTTTGTCAAGATCTTTTTTCAAAACTGTACTACGTGACTTGATTTTAAAAAAAACAAATTCGTCAAAATTAGGGAGAGTCTGAATGTATAAAATTTTGTAAATATCGTAAAACAAAAGTTATTCGCTTATATGATTTAGAGAGTTCTTAAAAAACCGTTAATTTACTTATTATATTCTAACAAGTTTTTTTAATTCTTAAAATATAAAATAGAGTTTAAGACTAGCTACAATATCGATATTAGCAGTTTTTAATACATTTATTTAAAGTAAATGATCTTTTAAGTTAATATTTTTATTAGAACTTTGATTAAGTAGAAAGTAGTATTATTTTAAGTTATTTTATTATTTTTATTAAATTATCTGCTAATTAATTAATTAATTATGGGAAATGCGGAGTAAAAATATACTTTGATGAATTTACTTTACTATTTAAACAGATACAGATAGAAACAGATAGAGAGGTATATATCAGAATCAGATTAGGTACATTAAAATCAAGTTTCAAATTTATAATATTTATTTACTTTTAGTCTAAGTAGTTTCCTAATATTTACCTTTCAAATTGAACCATCACCCACTCAATAAGTAGTTCATTAAAAACCGATTACCGGTCCCTAAAGTTATCGTAATTTGTTTGCCAATATACACGCATTGTACAAGCCTCAGGTAAAATTCGTTTATCTAATCAGACAGCCTACTGAACACAATTTAATCTTTAAAATTGTGATTTCTCCAGGAAATTTCGCCTTAGATACGTAACTCACAATCGTTTCGCAGCCTCTGCGTTGAATCAGAAATGTTTCTTATATCTCTAGTGCCCTAATTATTTTTGGAATATTTTTCAGATCAGAAATATTCGCATGTAAGGTAAGGAAATTTCGCGCCAAAATTGTGAGCAATATTAAAAATTAAACATAAAAATTTGAAATTAAAATTGAAAAGAACGATATTGCTAACTTCCCTTGATGTTATGCCTAAAATATTTCATATATCGAAATTTCTAGGTGAACTGGTTTTAACATTTAAATGTTGCCGACTTTTATATAAGACAGCGAGTTAGTCTCGGATTATTTGACTGTGAAAACGACATTGTTACGAGTTTTTTTTATATAAATAGAAAAAGCGTAGTCTTCTCAAAAGTTCCGGCATTCTGTAAATGAAATACTGTCACAAAGTAAATCACCGCACTTCGTTCTCAGTTTAACAGCTTCTCTCGTCACGCAAAAATTGATTGTAAATAATATGTAAAATTATTTGTTTATAGTTTTATTTAAGTATAGTGGGTGGTCCTTATGGGCGTATCAGCGGTGCAAGATGAGAAGAATTTTAAATTTCACTAAAGTAACAAATAATAATTATATCATAATAGAAACAATCTTGACCAATCTTTTACTTTAAAATGTGATAGAGCTTAATATGAAATAATAACACAACTCTTAATTTCAACATTTAATATCAAAAGTCTCCTGAAATGGTTTTACAGTTCCTTTTATCCTATTTGTTTGAATTCGTTAATAGTCAGTGGCAGGACAACAAAAGTTTAGACTAAAATAAATATTAATATATAAATATATAAAAATATTTAAAAAAATGGGTACGTTTAATAAATTTGAAGTTTCTTTAAAATTAAAAGGTTCAGTTCCAAAATTTTGTAGACCACGTCCTGTACCACTAGCTTTAAAACCAAAAATTAAATTAGAAATTCAGAGGTTGGTCGAAAATAAAGTTTTAATACCAACTGAATTTTCAGAATGGGCTACGCCTATTGTTCCTGTTTTAAAACAAAATGGTGGCATAATAATATAACTCGCATTTACTAGATCAATATTATTCATTGCCCAGAATTGAATATTTATTTTCACAATTACAAGGTTCACCACCTTGTAATTTTCCAAAATTGACTTATCCGAAGCTTATCAGCACGTTTTGCTAACAGAAGAATCTAGAAAACTAGTAACTATTACGACACATAAAGGGCTTTTTTTCATATACAAGTTTACCCTATGGTATAAAAACCGCACCATCGATATTTCAAAATATCATGGAGCAAATGTTTGTTATGCCAAGTGTAGTTTGCTTTCTTGACGATATTTTACTAACAGGGAAAAATTATCAAGAGCATGACAACGCACTGTCAATTTCTTCTAGCTTGACTAGTACACATAATTGATGAATATTAAACATTACGGTAAAACGAATTATATGTTAGATATGAATTTTGTATAAAAGCCTTGATTTTGATCAGATTAGCACGAGTAGATAAATAAATTCCCATTAGCACTTGTGCTCAAGTGATGATCGGCCGGGGGCATCTTGCACGCAAAGGCAGGCGCGCGAGTTCACTAATTAATACTGCAAGTGGCCACTGAATGGCGGCGGACACCGGTAATTAGTGAGATTCCCGACTGTTGCGTTTGCGGGGGATTTCACAGCAACCTGGATAAACAGTGTGCTGTACCTATGTTGCTCTGAAGAGAATTGTAAATTACCTTTTGGTACAGATAACATTACTTTATATTAGCGTACTAATGAT